CCTGGGATCGAGCCCTACATCAGGCTCCCTGCTCAGCGGGAAGCCTGCTTCTCCCTCTCCCACTCCCCCTGCTTGTGTTCCCTCTCTCGCTGTGTTTCTCTCTGTCAAATGAATAAATAAAATCTTAAAAAAATATATTTTCAATTATGTATGTGAGCCAAAAGAATATGGAATTTTAAAAAGGGGAATAGTTATGAGCTTTTAATGTATTTGATTACTAATGATGACTATTATGTGTCTCAATCTAAAATATCAACCTAAAATATTTAAATTTAGCATCAGAATTAAGGTAGTACTGACTTGCACTTTCTTAGACTAATGCTGGGTTCAAGTTCTTTTTAGTACATGTCTTTAAAAATAATGGTGGAATCTGTCTATTGCATTGGACAGTCTGTGATTATATTGAATAAGTCAAAAGTGGCATTATTTTCCCACTGATTCCCAAATAAAAATATGTGGTGCTTACATTTATGCAGTTTTAAAAATCATTTGTCCTCCTTAGAGAAGAATGACAATTACAGTAAATGATCTTCAAAGCCTCTTTCAGTCCTGAAATACTGTGGTTCTTATAAATAAACATACCTGCGTGAAGAATAAGTTCTGTCAGCCTTATCAAATTTTCTTATATGGCAGTGACAAACTTGATATATCAAAGAGAAGCATTAGATGTAATACTTCTCGACTTTACTCAAGATTTATTTTGAATTGTTATCAGAAAATGTAGAGACTCTAGCTCAAATTATACTTTTATTATCTTGGTTTAAAATTAGCACTAGTATGATTTATAAAGCATAATTATGTGTGTTTTGATCTTCTTTTAGGAATGTATATTGGATGAAGTTTCAGAGAGATTTAGTTAATTATTCAAAAGCTTGATAGAATTTAGGATTAATCTTGGCAATCTATGAAATAAGTAAAGCTTATTTCTGGCTCTATTTCCTTTGTTAACTTCCTAAGTCTTCTTACTTTTGCTTCACATGCCAAAGGATCCTGACTGTAACAGATGTGTACAATGCTGCTAGTAATTCGGGCGTGTCCAGTTCATATCACACCAATTAAAATCTTCCCAGGTGTTATTTTTTTCAAAGTTTGACTGGCTGGAAAAAGACAACCAGCAGCTTTTCTCACTAATCAGCTTGTTTCTGTGGTTTTTGTGTATAAGAAAAAAATGTTAACTTGGCATCAGTGAACTACTTAGGTACATTTGATTGTTACCCTGTGTATATCATTATGCTCTGTCTTTTCCAGGCATGATATGACATAGCAAACAATAACTAGAGACACTTAAAAAAAAGTAGTAACCAATTTAGTTCTGAAAGATAAAATAGGCCAATATAAGAATAGTAAAAAAATATCTAGTCTTCCTAAACCAAAAGTGGAGAGTTTCAGACACAGAATATGTACTTTGAACCTCTGTCTGACATAAGGGTGAAGTTCTGGCCTCTAAATTCCAGTATTACTTTGGCTTCAGTCTCTTGCATATTAAATCATTCTGTAGGGTTTTAAACTCTTTAGCCCCAGTGCACACTCTTGAACATGCAGAACCAGGTTTGTGCTTAGAGGTGCTATTGATCTTGATTTTTTTCCCTCCATTCCTTTTTTATGGGTATCTTTTGTATCAACTGGATATTTTCTAATGTAATATATTAATTCACTTAATGATTTCATAATAGGCTTGTTTAGAGCAGTTTTAGGGTCACTGCAAAAGTGAGCAGAACATACAGATATTTCACATATACCCCTGCCCCTGTTTTGTGTAGCATTTCCCACTATTTTTTTTAAAGATTTTATTTATTTATGAGAGAGTGAGCACGAGCAGCGGGGAGGGGCAGAGGGAGAGGGAGAAGTAGACTCCCCGCTGAGCAGGGAGCCCGATGCTGGACTCAATCCCAGGACCCTGGGATCACGACCTGAGCTTAAGGCAGACACTTCACTGACTGAGCCACTCAGGCGCCCACCCATTTTCCACTATTTGTGTGCTCCCTGAGACTGGTACATTTGTTACAAGTGATGAACCTATATTAAACCATCATTATCATTGAAACATCATCAGCCAAAGCCCATAGTTTACTTTAGGTCTCACTCCTGATGTTGGACATTCTCTGCGTTGGATGAATGTGTAATAATATTTAGCCACCATCACAGTATCATACAAAGTAATTTCACTGTCCTAAAAATCCTCTGCACTTCATACATCAATTCCTCCCCCATCCCTAACCACTGGCAATCATTTATCTTTTTGTTGTTTCTTTTTTTTAAATGGTTTTGCTATTTCCAGAGTCTCACAGAATTGGAATCATACAGTATGTAGCCTTTTTAGAATGTTCTCTTTCACTCAGTAATATATATTTAAGGTTTCTCCATGTCTTTTCATGATTTAATAGGTCATTTCTTTTTAATGCTGAATAATATTCTCTTGTCTGGATGTACCGCAGTTTATTTAACCATCCACCTACTGAAGGACATTTTTGTTGCTTCCAGGTTTTGGCATTGTAAAGGAAGCTGTAATAAACATCCGTATGCAGATTTTTGTATGGACATAAGTTTTCAACTCCTTTGGGTAAATGTCAGGGAGCTCAATTCCTGGATAGTGTATTAAGAGTAAGTTTAGTTTTGTAAGAAACTGCCAAACTGTCTTCTGAAGTGGCTGTACTATTTTGCATTTCCATCATCAATGAGTGTTCCTGTTACTCCACATCCACGTCAGCATTTGGTGTTGACAGTGTTCTGAATTTTGGCCACTCAAGTAGATTTGTAGTGGTATTTCATTGTTGTTTTAATTTGCATTTCCTTGATAACATTTGAGCGAAGCATCTGTTCACATGTTTA